ATCGCACCAGATAACTAGTGCCGCTCACGGGCTGTCAGTGACTTCGAAAAGACCCAAAATTATGTAGTAGATTTTATAACAAGTTAACAGACCATATACAAACTATCCAATTCACAACTTTTTAAGAGGAAGGTCAGAGATTTCCTTATAAATCAACCTTTACATTCTTCAAATGATTCTGTTTACATACGTCGAAGGCTTTGGTTACATGAGTGAATAGGAAAAACGAATTGAACACAAAAGTAAAGAAGGATCCAAATAATGCTAACCTACTGAAAGAATACAATGACTAAAGAATTTAGAGCAATTTAGTTTCACAAAACTTGTGTGACCCAAAAGCATTATCGAACTGCGTTAAGACTATAAATAGTAGGAATGGACACACTAGCATCAAAGAAATCGAAAAAGATGGAACTAGTGTACCAAGTGCTCAAGAGATGCGGAGATTTATATCTGGTACTTCTCTGACATTGGATGGAGGATAGCTAGCAAAATTCCTCATTCAAAAATAAACCACCCACAAAAAAGTCAGGTAGATCCTGAATTTTGAAACAATACTGTCGGTATAATATCAGACCACTAACTTAAGGCGAAAATACACATGCTTGTTACACGCACAGAAGCATGCCAGTTACTGGATTGTGCGTGCTACTTACATGTGTGACTTTCTTTGCCAGCAAGAAAGCACGCTAGAAGATAGCACGCCAGTAGATCGCAAGACGTTTGATTTTTATGTGCCAGTAGCAGGATTTCGTCGAGGGAATGGAGGGGAGGAAACATACGAGTCATGTTCAAAGGTGTGTGAACGACATCGTTACCAGAAACTCGCATGAGAAAAACATTTGTTTAGTTCCGGGCAAAATGGCTCATTGGGGAGACGAAAAGACTTTATTGTTTGTTATGCAGTATAGGGAGTATCCGTGTTTATGGAATACATGATCTCCATTGTATAAAAATAAAATCGCTAGAGACAAGTCTTTATTGAAGCAAATGACTGATAACAATTTAACATTGAAATTTATGAAAAATAAGATAAAAAATCTAAGAAAAACCTACCACCAAGAGTTAAAGAAGATAAAGGAAAGTTTTCACAGACTGGCATATCCAAAACTAGCATGTATATTTTGGGATGTCGTAGGACAAGTAGTTAGCATACAAGTTACTGGCCACTGGCATGCTATTTTACTGGCATGTGTATTCTCGCCTTTAATTATTTAATCGGTGTATTTTACTAGGCATCTTTCCAAAATGTTTGAAGGTTTCTGTAATTAAGCCACTTAATAAATCCGGAAGCAAAAACGAGGTTAATAACTATAGGCCTGTTTCTTTACGCTCAGGTTTAGCTGAAGTACTTGAAAAAATTCTATATTCAAGAATATCTTCTTTTCTGAATAAGTATGGTATTCTGTCAGAGAAACACTACAGGTTTCAAAAGGGCAGATCAACTCGTCATCAAAATTTGCTAGACACGTTGGAACGTCTTGGTTTCAGAGGTATGTCCTTCAAGATGATTTCTAGTTATTTGTCTGGCCAAAAGCAGTGTGTCACAATAGGAGGCACTAAAAGTAGATATTTGGAAACAAACTATGGCGTGCCGTAGGGATCGGTGCTGGGACCGTTATTGTTCTTGCTATATATTAATAATCTGTTCGAGATGGAAACTGCCGGAGATATCATTAGTTTCGCGGATGACACGGCAATATTATATAAACATAATTCGTGGCACAGTCTAAAAGTTTTAGCGGAAAGAAACTTTACGAAAATTGTTGAATTTTTTAGTAGCAAGAAGGTCTCAGTAAATTGGTACAAAACATATTTTTTACTATTTCCTTCTTATGAACCCCACATGCCACAATATCAAAGGCTTACGATAGCATCTCAAAGTAGCGTGAAGGATTTAGGTGTTGTACTAGACAGCCATCTGAGATGGTCAGCAAGGAGGTTAAAAGAATACGGAGCTTGGTCCCAAAATTCAAATTATACGTTTCTATATTCAACACAGATATTCTGAAATCTTTGTATTTTACTTTGGTTAAATCTCATCCCACTTATGTTATTCTTGCATGGGGTGGCCTAGCAAGTATATATCTCAATAAATTGGAAGTAATCCAAACATATCAGACAATTATTTTTCCAACACCGAGCCACATTTGAGCACTTTCATAAAGGTAACAGGGATTACATCAAGCATTGCCATAATTTAAGACAATTAAAACTGCCAAAAATTTACAAAACAGTTGGCCTAAGAAGCCACATTTACTTATGTCCCAAAGCTTTTAATGCCTTGCCCGAGGATATTAGGAGGATCAGTCAAAAATTCCTGTTCAAGAAAGAACTTTAGTTGTGGATCTCAAATACTCTTAGGCAAAACATACATAATATAATATCTGTGATGATTGTATAGGTCTCATAAATGTATTGAAACTGTTGCTTTTGATGTCTGTATAGTTACGTCTTTTTATCAATTCTCTCTTCCTCTATTTTCATCGATACCGAATTTTAATAACATTGAAGATGAATATTCCAGTTTTTCCAAAAATGTAAAATTAACCGACTGTAGGCAATTTCAACGAATCTATATGCTTGTTTTAGTCATACATTTTCAAATTACCGATTATGGATTACCTGACCGATTTTATGATCAATATTGTGAACCCATTTTAGGTGGACTGTTTTTAAGTGTGTGAACTATTTTATAGTGCAATACATGAGTAATTTTTATTTTACTAATATTAGCAATGGACCGGAAATTTTAAAAAATGTCCATACCATGATTAATGATTTTGTAATTTGTACAATCCCACGACAAGCCTGCTTCTGTGGGTTTCTTGCTTGGTTACCATTTTATACTGTGTACGTTTTTATATTCAATTTACAATATTATCGTTATTTTTGGTAAATAAGCTTTACGTGATACTTATTGGTTTTCTTCTATTATACTTCGTTTTTAAATGTGAATGTACCATTTTTAGCTCATTGTGACTGACAATTCCAACACTATTTTGCAGAGCCTTATGGAAACACAGATATTATTATTATTATTATTATAAAAAGTCTCAAAAGAGCATTTTTTGTGCTACAATACTGTAGAGTGAACGGTACCTAAATGGTTAATGGGGATTGAATGGTGATATCAAACATTTGCTTATATCTGCAGCACAACCGTTTTTCACGGGTTAGATTGAGAATCGACTTTAATTTCAAGATCCGATGGAATCTCTTTGATTTATTGAAAGTGCTGTAGTTTACTATGAAACTTTGCTCCTTACTCGTGGGAAGCAAAAGGTGTCACACCAAACAAAGTGGCAACGCCGCAAAGATAAAAGAGCCTCGACAGATGGCAGAAAATATCGCTCGATCCATTGCCCATACGTGACGATTTATTTGGTAGCGCGCAGATGACAAAAGGTTGAAATGGTTTGACGCACTCGGGCAAAACTTAATGACTTCCATATTTCATCCACTTCCACTCGCTTACTGCTTGCTGTACTACTGCGAGAAAGACACTCTCTTTTTCCGCTAGGTTTTTCATTCCATTTCTGCCGATATTCAATTTCGCGTTTTTCCTATATTGCGGCCTACGCTGACAGTGACTAACGTTAACGTAACGCATGGTCAGGGATATTTTTTTCATGTTTTGGTACTGATAGGATTGTCGTTGAAATAAAATATCTTATTCCACTTTCTGCATTAGAATTTAATACTTTCGAGCGTCTGCGAAAAAATCGAATCAACCTGTAAATTCGATTAACCTGTATTTACATACTTAGCATGCTTTTGTTTGAAATATCTGGGATTTCAAAGATCCCCACTCCCACTGGCGAAATTTGCTACACCTCTGCTCATCAAAAAAGGTTGGAGGTAGATATACTTTCAGCGTATACAAAAATTTTGCTTTTATCAATGTCTAGTAGGGTCTGGCCAGAAGAAAGTTTTTTAGCCGAAGTCGATGTATGGCTGTTAACACCACCTTAGTATGAAGCCGGTTGTGATGGACGGTTGTTAAGAAATGGGAGGAAACATCAGTCGTAATTAATTGTCGGGATATATTTTTGGAACTTGGCACAACTGGGAAATAATAAAAAGTATTCACGAATTCGAATTTTTCATTGGCTGAGTAGCTTAGGCACTTTAACCTTGAGGGTATGTGAGCTCCCAAACTACACGATTCTGTTCTTTCAAGACAGATGGAACTGAAGACTTGTTATTTTTAATACAAAAACTATGGAACTGGTTAACGGTATTTATTCACGTTTAAACTTTTGTGTTCCCGGGGTAAGCTGTTAAAATCAAAATATCATCTGACCTTGCCAAATATTATCACGTATAGAGATTTAAAATTTCCGGAAAAACTGTCGAAAAAAAGGAAAAATACGGAAAAATTGAAATTTGTTATATACAAGATGAAAGTATTCTGGTTACTGATTTTTCCATTAACATAAATCAAACAGAAATAATTTGAATCAAAACCACAAGCTACGGCTCTGAAGGATTAGTTCTCGGTAAATACCCGTCGATTTTCGGTGAATCCCTGACCACTACAGCTTTCGGTTAATTCCCGATCACGCTCAGCGACACGGCATTTCGGTAAATCCCCGTATTCCTGAATTGTTCAGTTGAGAATGAGATTCCTCAATATTAAAACGTCTTGTTTATTTTAAAGCACGCATTTTAATTTAGCCTTATCATAAGCGCAGTAAGTGAATAATACAAAGTGAAATTTTGCTGTAATAATTGAGTGTGTTTGTTCTGAAGATTGTTAGTGTTGTTGACCCAAGTGTTTGTTTTAGTAAGTGAATATTTTATTAAATTTGGAATAGCTTTAAGTGTTTTGAAGGTGGAATTTCAGTTTCCTTGCATATTTTCCTTACTTTTCTTTATTACTAATATCAAGATTCAGTAATAATAATTATTATCTGTATACTCATTAAATTACAAGAATTTGATCAGTTGATAAAGTGCAGCAAGATATTTTATTTATGTATTTTTTTCTTGTTGCAGGACAATATGGTTCTACCTTCTTCAGATATTTGGCAATTATTTGATATTGAAAAAACAGATAAAAAATCCAAGGCTGTGTGTAAGTTTTGCTGTTTTAAATACGCCTTTCCAAACGCAACTCGCATGACGAATCATATATTAAACCAATGTTCAAAATGTACTTTGGAAATTAAACAAAAATATGGCAATGAAATACAATCGAGTTCGAAGTCTTCGACATCAGAAGAAAAAGAAAGTAACAAAGATATCCTGCTAGAAGCATTAGAAGATACCAGTCTCCCTTCAACGAGCAAAAAGGACACGTCATCAATGTCATCATCTTCCGAATCTCCATTATCATCAGTAAAACGCAAGAAAGCTAGCTGCCAACAAACATTGAGCGGGTTTTTCGATAAGATAGCTGTTTCAGAGTCTTCTAAAATTGATGAGGCATTAGCTAGGGCTCTTTATGCTTCTGGCGCTCCTTTTTCTCTTTTCAAAAATAAATATTGGGAACAGGTTTTTAAAATGTTAAGACCGTCATACGAAATATCTAGCCCTTACGCCCTGTCAACAAACTTACTTAATTCCGAGTATGAACGTGTACAGATAAACCGAAGTCAAAAGCTTTCTGAATCCGATAGTTTATCAATAGTAACAGATAGTTGGACAAATATAGTCGGAGATGGATTAATCAATATTGTTATATGCACGCCTATACCTTTATTTTACAAAACTGTTAATCGTCTGTTGGTTGTACAGCTCACACTCCGAATTTGCTACTAAAGGACTTTATGAAAGAAAATTTGTTTCAAAAAATAAGTAAACAGTTTAGAAAAATTTGTAAATATTTTAAACAGCACCACATACTTTATGCTGCATTTAAAGAAGCACAGGCCGGAAAATACCCAAAAAATAAAGTAATTTCCCTCAAATTACCTGCAAAAACAAGATGGGGTTCTCTGTTTATAACTGTTGATTCGCTTTTAAGAAATAAGAAAGCTCTGCAATGACTGTATTAGTGGAAAACCTGAATGTAAAACAAAATATTAAAAAAGTTGTATGGGATGATGCGTTCTGGCAAAACCTACAATATACTAAACAAATCCTGCATCCTGTATCAAAATCGATAAATTTAGTAGAATCGGATAGATCTATATTATCAGAACTGCCTTTTGTCTTTAAGTACATAAAAACACAATATTAGATATTCCCCAACAAGTTGACCTCCTCTTATCGAAAGCTTGCTAAAATATGCTGAAGAACGCTACGAATTTTGTTCTAAGCCGATTTACTTTGCAGCCAATCTTCTTGATGCTCGCTTTAAAGGAGAACAATTGAATGAAGACCAACTAATGGAAGCAATAGACTTCATTTCTGAAATGGCTCGTTCACTAAATCTAGATGTAGGGAAGGTGGTGGCAAATCTAGCCCAATTTAGAACAAAAACTGGATTTTTTACTCGAAATACTTTATGGGATAGTGCGAATACTCATAACGTTATATGGTGGCAAGGCTTGTGTACATCGCAGCCACTTATGCCAATCGCCTCACGAATGTTAAATGGACCGCCATCTTCCGCCTCTTCTGAAAGAAACTGGTCTTTATACGGCCTCATACATACAAGCAAAAGAAATAGATTATCACAGGATAAAATTTGGAAGCTGGTGGTCCGCTATTCATTCTAATTTGGTTATAAACGAAAAACAGACATTCATTTACGATGCTAGACCAGCTCCACTTTTAGAAGACACTGGCAAAGATTATGCTGTTTTGTCCGTCTATGAAGACGAAGCTTTGTTTTTGATACTTTCAATTATTAGATAATAATTATAATTTGACCCTATATACATGTATGTATTTATATCTTAGATATTAATAGATATTATTAAAGTACGTTTTTTGTATTTATTTTTACAAAATATGTTTAAAAAACTTTAAAATTGGTACCTATTTTTTACGTTTCAAGTTACAATTAAAATATTTAAATTTTCTCATTTTTTCCAATTTTTCCCATGGTCTGGAAAACAACGTGTTTTTTTCCTAATTTTTCCCGTTTTTTTCCGATATGTTAAATCTCTAATCACGTATCATGAAGTTTTGTGATACAATGCATATGAAAATATAATATATTTTTCTTAGTTGACATCTCATATCACACATTAATTTGTAAAAATGAGTATGACTGTTCACAAAAGCCTTGGTCAATTGGAGTAAACATAATCCACTGGGATCATGTTTGTATAAATTTCCATAAAAATATTGTTCAACCCAGTACAAAACGCATTACTCAATAAATCTTTTAATAATAAAATAGACAACAAGCGTTGTGAAATCAGAGCACGGGCACAGTTGGAAATAAAAAAAATGACAATGTTTGATGACGGACCGTTACGTGAAAAGTTGTCGCCGGGTACACAAAAAAATAAATACAATTTTAATAAAAATTTATTGCCACTATAAAATTCCCTTTTGTGACTGTTTGATTGAAAATTAAAATACTCAGATGAATATTTCATTTTTATGTACGCGTACCATTTTCCCCAATAAATAACGCAGTAAAAGCCGTATATTTCATTAAATTTTGATTGGGCCACTGCAAGCAAGGAAAAATAACTCGTAGCTATAAACGCCATGATTTTTTTCTGTTAATCCGATGATCTATAGTCGTTCAGATCTGTATACATAAATGTTAAAAAGTATTATGCAGATGGATTGGAGTCGTTAATTTTTGTCAGCCATAAATTTGACTTGGCCTTGTCAAGTACCGGTTCGGGTGTCTTGTAAGGCTTCAGGTACTCGAACGTCGAAGACACATACATAACACAGGCCGAGCATTTCTACCCAAAAAACAGAGTACCTATACCTTCCCGGAAGATTTTCGTGCGATTAATCCGAATCCGTAATCCAAATCTCTCAATTGGCTCAAGTTTCCGCGTCATCCAAAATTGCGATTTTGCCTATATTTAAGGTTCAAAAAGTACAGGCATCAAACGCTGTTGAGTTTGCTTATATTTTTTTCGCTATGATACGGCACTTTGTTATTTCTGATTTTGATTACAATATACACTAAATCCATAAAATATCTTAAACAAACCCGAACCATGAATATCACAGTGAAACATTTCTTAAGTGTTATCAGACGGAATTTAGGGTGAAAAGTTGACGAGAAACTATTTTTCCGGGCTAGCCGTAAATTCTAGCGATGTATCGACATCGAGTTTGGAATCTACGCACCCGATTTACCCAGAAAACAAGTTTCCATCTCGATCATATACGCGCAAGGGTTTTTAGAAATTTTTTATTAGTCGTTTTTTGACAAAGTTGAATTCTTGCCAGTATCTTGAAAACGAGGCATTTTCGAACGGAATGGGCCATGGATTCGGTTTCAGCGACCCAAAAAGCATATTATAAGATATGATGCGTTCACGTTCCCGACTGACCCATTTTGTGATTTTTTGGTAAGAATATCCTATAGATGGTAATTATATGTTAAAATGCTTTAAATGCGCTTCAAATGAACCTTATTCCACGTATTTTGGGCTGCCCATATCGAATCCGAGGTCGTTTTATATGTATGTGATCCCGTTTGTGATTTAGATCTAATTACTTAACGAAAAATTGCAAAACTAGGCGTTTTTTGCTACTTTAAGGTGCTAAAAATCCATTTTTACTATGGATGGCTACATGAGAGCGGAGCTTTGCACAATGATGTAATTTGGGGCGCTGAATATGAATATCACAGTGAAAAATTTCTTAAGTGTTATCAGACTGAATTTAGGGTAAACATTTGACCGCAGCAGTCTTTCCTGCTCCAGGGATCTTTCTTTGGAATCAGACCGGAAGGACATTCTGTGGCTTCGCCTCAACTCCAAAACATCACCCAAATTTATTTGCTGCCTTTATCGCTCTCCCTCGAACCATAACTGGGATGACCTACTCGAATACCTCGCCGTCCAGATCGACTTCCTGAACATCAATCACCCCGCTTCAGAGGTAGTTCTTCTCGGTGATTTCAATGCCCATAATGAGCTTTGGTTGGGCTCAAATAAGACCGATGCAGCAGGTCGTGCAGTCGAAGCGTTCGCTCTTACTCAAGGGCTGACCCAGCTGGTGACGAGCCCTACTTTTTTCCCCCGCGTCTCGTCACACGCCAGTAGCCTGCTGGATCTCTTTCTGACCACGCATCCTGCCCCTTACAGCACTGCCGTCCTGTCCCCCCTGGGTAACTCAGATCACGGTGTTGTGGAGGTTAGGTTTCGGTCAGAAGCCGCTGTGGCCGCAGAAACTCGCACAGGCCGCAAAACTTGGCATTACGGACATGCCGACTGGGAGGGGCTCAGAGACTTCTTCTCTAGCTTTCCTTGGAGAGATGTCTGTTTCACTGACGCGGATGCGTCGACTGTCTGTTCTTCAATAACCGAAATTATCCACGTCGGAATGGAGGAATACATCCCTCACACAGTGAAAGTTCCTAAACCAGGGTCCAACGGCTGGTTCAACAAATCGTGTGACACTGCTCGCCAGCAGAAGATCAAGGCCCACAGAACCTACTTACAAAACCCCACTGTAGAGAACAGACAAGCCGACGTCGAGTCCAGAAACAAATATAACGAAGCGGTTCGCAATGCCAAAACCCAGCATGATATAAAAGTTAGGCACAGGGTAATGTCGCAGCGCAATGGCAGTCGGTCTTTCTGGACGCTGGCCAAGCAGATTGAAAAGAACTTCTCACACAGTAGCCTTCCACCACTTACGTGTCAGGATGGAACTATTGTATTCGACTCAAAGGCCAAGGCGGAAGTGCTAGCCAAGATCTTTGCTGCCAACTCCACCATGGACGTCCCCACCAACGCCCAAGTGCCGTCAATTCAAAGGGTTCCCCACACTATGCGGGAGGTAACATTCAGGCATAAGACCGTAAGACGAGTGCTCTTGTCGCTCGACATCAACAAAGCTTCTGGTCCGGACTTGATTCCTGCCATTGTACTGAAGAGATGTGCAGCTGAGCTTGCTCCAGTTCTTTCGCGTCTCTTCCAGATATCTTATGAATCCGGCACCTTCCCAGAAAACTGGAAATTTGCTCATGTACAGCCCATCCCAAAAAAAGGATCTAAAACCGACCCTTACAACTACAGGCCTATAGCTCTGCTTTCTGTTATCAGTAAAGTGATGGAGAGGTGCATAAATCGCGAGCTTCTGGACTACCTCGAACGTCACAGCTTGATTAGCGACAGGCAGTACGGTTTCCGGCACCAACGATCCACAGGGGACCTCCTAGCTTACGTCACGCAACTGTGGAGTAAACTCATCCAGTCTCATGGTGAGGCTCATGTCGTTGCTCTTGACATCACGAAAGCGTTCGATCAGCTGTGGCACGCTGCCCTCTTGAGCAAACTTCCATCCTACGGCCTCCCAGAAAAG